GTTCATGCCTTGTGCCCTGGGTGTCTCATTGGTCACTCTTTCTGCCGAGAATAAGCAACGAGTTCACTGAAGGATATTATGGAAGACCATGGATTTGGGCACCATTGCAATGCTGTGCCCCTGGGCATCGTGAACCTTTGCGACAAACCCAGGAAACACGCTCACGGGTATCTGAAGAACTAACTCAAATAGGTTCTTGGACTAAGCCCATCTGGCTAGGATCCACCCAGATAGAACAAAAAATGAACCTAACTTAAAAGAGGAGAAATTGGTGATCTGACAAGAAACCCAATATCAACCCTTTTTTAAGGGGCAACATTGTCAGGCTAGTGAGTCATTTTGTGGCAAATTGCTATTTTCAGAACCCCAAAGGGATGCATTGGTGAAAAACGCATTCTTTCACCTCTAACTCATCAGGAAACCAAGAGCCAGACCTGACGTGTGTAATTCTAGAAAGTATTCTCTCGAATTTACTCAATATGCAGACCGACTAAAGTGAAAACATACAGAGAACAGATACGTTATCACCAAGTGGAGCCCCATAAAGCACTCAGCTTGGTCTATGTAGAAAGCAATCAAGTACAACCTTTTAGTGAACTAAACATTGAACCAAGGGTCAAAGGTCCAGGCTTTGTCGCTAAACCAGCTGTGTGGTTTTATACCTACCTCCTCTACTCCCCTTTTCTTCTTCATTTGCGATAGGACGTGTATACCAAAATTATAGAGACTACCTATATCTGCACCTACGTTTGTCAGACCTTACCATGTGGGCTTATTTCCTTCAGACTGTTGAAAAATATGAAACAACAGTGACAGCTGAAGTCCTCTGAATGTGTCTCTCTCCTCGAATCCCATGCCTTCCTGCCCCACAAGTCCAAGCACTGTTCTGACTCCTGCTATCATTCCATACCTGTTATTAAACTGTCGTATCAGAGGTACAGATTCATAAACACTACTCAGGATTGTGTGGTATGTTTGCGAATTCTGTGTGGAAGGGATGGTGTGTACCCACAAAAGTCAGCGCAAATGCCAGCATTAAGAGCAGACACCCTGAAGACTCAGTATCTGGGTTCAAAGATCAGTTTACCACTTCCTTCCTGAGAGCCTTGGGCAAATTACTTAAACACTCTATGCCTCCCTTTTAAATAGAAAACACAGTGAAACCTGTCTTATAAGTTATCCTGAGGATTAAGTGCATCTAGAAAGTCCTTGTACAACGCCCAACGCAAAATAATCTCTAGGTGTTACTTGTTACTATTCAAACATTTATAGTTTTCCATTATATGAACAGGTTCCAATTTATGTAACTAGTTTCCTCTCGATGGTCATTTAAGTTGTCTTCAATGATCTCATGTTGTATGTGTGGCCAGTTTTCTGTAGTGACTACACCTAGGAATGATTGTTGAGTTTTAGATCAGCCCAACCTTGGCTCTAGCAGATATTAGCATCTGGTTCTCCAACATGTGGTAACAATTCTCACTGTTACTTCAAGTTCTGATATCCTCACCAATTTTAATGTTGTCTGATCATCATTTCTGTATTTGTAAAATGAGGAGGCATGAATTTGATGGTCTCTGGAGTCTTTTTGCATTTTCTATATTCTCCAGTTTCCTTTCCATGCACTTCCCACTTTCTCCTTTCACCTAGAAATAAACTAGCCCTGTGAATAGCAAACTTTTCTCTTGAGTCTGTAAGCCTGCTCTTTGGTATTTTATATTCCATACAGTCTATAAAATGAAGACATCCAAAAAAACTATTTCTGTAGTCATGGGGAGAATAGTACCTTAATTGGCGGTGTTTTACCCTGGCATACTTGAACACTGTTAAAACAGACCAGTAGGGGTGCCTGGGTGGCTCAGTGGTTAAGCCTCTGCCTTTGCCTCAGGTCATGATCTCAGGGTCCTGGGATTGAGTCCCCCATGGCATGGGGCTTTCTGCTCAGCAGGGAGTCTGCTACCCAGGCCCCCTCCCCCACCCCACCTCTGCCTACTTGTGATCTCTCTCTCTGTCAAGTAAATAAATAAAATCTTTAAAAAAAAAAAAAAACAACAGACCAGTAGTTGCCAAACTTTTTAAAGCCATGGACTTTTTAAAAAAATTAAAACATAACCTGAATTTCAATATAAATGCTGCTTGCCCCTTTTTTTATTCCTTTTGCCTACCTCTAATACATACCTTACACAGTGGCAAAAAGCTTCTCGTAATGTAGCTGTCATTATTGCTTTGTGAAACTCTCTGAAATTAAGAAATACTACAATGCTTCAATCTGTCTTGTTGCTTTATCCATTCAATTTGCATAGTAAATTTTATTTGATCGTATTTTAATGTTAGGCTTGCATCAAGTGTGCCATGCTAAAATCTTCTGGAAATCTTTTTAGAAAAAAAATGCCCATTATTGCCAGAGAGCTTTGATTTTACTACCTATAATTTCTGTGAAGAAAATTTCAAGCTTTGAAGGTTGTAATTGTAGACCAACATTGCCACCTAATGGTAGAAAGTTGAATCACATCATATTTCAAGTAGGAAAAGTTGTGTGTTTGTTTTTAAGATCTATGCAAAACTTTGAGAGATCTACTCCTATAAGAACATTACATTATAACAGAGTTGGGGGTCAGACACACTGGGAAGGCTAGCTGATTGGGTTCCTGCTCTCTCATTGATCTGCTGTCAATGAGTCCCAGAATTCTCTCTCATCGGCTCTCAGACACAGTTAATAAAGATCTTCAAATTTCAACCGGCCCTCCCTCGTCTGAACTGGAACCCCGCCACCACCTGTCAGAGCCTCCACCTGAAGGCATCATGGAAAAAGAGTTGGCTAAGCTGTCCTGACTCCAGGTCTTTGAATCAAGAATCTGCCCCCTGTCCAATATAAGCATCAGAAAGACTCATAGAGCTGCGGGTCAGAGTTCATGAAATCAGAACGCTTGGATGTCTCTAGCTGAAGTAAGATTCGAAGTACCCACCCTCCTGGGGGCTGTGACTGGAGTTGCTCTGCTTAGGACCCAGGCCCTGAGCCAGGTGTGTATCCCTCACTCATTCCTATCTTAGCAGAGCAAGCCTCTTTACAGTGTCTTAGAGGTTTTTATAACAAGCAACACACGGAACAAAGAATAAAATGTGTGTGAAGAAGAAGGAGGAGGAGGAGGAGAAGGGGAAGGAGGAAGAAGAAAGAAGAAGATGCAGAAGCAGTTGTCACAGGCAGAAACCATGTTATATATTAATTACACTCCAGAACTAGTCACTTCCTCTGTAGTGAAGAAATACTTGCTAGCTGTTAGTGAATAGATGAAACGTAAAATGCCAACATGAGACTGCAAATACCATGTGCAGTTCAATGAATCTTTTTTTTGGTAGAACAGAATACACTCTACCATAGACATACACTGATCAAGGTCCATAGAAATATCTGAAATGTCAAATTAACAAGATGCCATGTTAAGTCATATTATTATAGGCAGAGATAGAAATTTTATATCAACTCCAGTGACCTCTGTTGCGATTTTTTTAAACCATATCTGGGTTCAGTGGAAGAAAGCTGTACGATTGATTAGAAAAGTCTTTCTCAACCACACACCTGTCATACAGTACACTTTTCTGAAATTTCTAGAACAATCCCATTAACTCCTTCCTGGCTCTCTCGTTGGGTGCTTCTCAAGATTTAATGTGGGTATGAATCACCCAGGGGGCTTGCTAAAAAGCATATTCTCATCCAGTAGTCATAAGGTAGGGCCCGAGATTCTGAATTTCTAGGAAGTTGCCTGATGATGCCTGCTCTGGTCCATAGAACTTACACATCTCCTTTCCGGACATTACAATTTTCTTTGTTAATCATCCAGCAATGGAATTATTTTTATACCTTTTTTTATTGCTGGCCAGTCAGATAAGGAAGATAGTAGTCCTTGCTATCAGGCCTTAATAATCAGAGAATCTGAAAAAAATTATCATAAAAGTACAAACTGAGGGTTGCTGTAGGGGAGGTAGGTGAGGAGCTGGGGTAAATAGCGATGGGCATTAAGGAGGGTACTTGTTGTAATGAGCACAGGGTGATATATGCAAGTGGTGAACCACTAACTTCTACCGCTGAAACTAATACTACCTTATGTTAGCTAACTTGAATTTAAGTAAAATCTTGAAAGAAAAAAATTCGTTATAAAACTTTCCTACATTTTATGATTTTTTAAAATATATTTTTTTAAGATTTTATTCTTTTGAGAGGCAGAGATCACAAGTAGGCAGAGAGGCAGGCAGAGAGAGCGGTGGGGGAAGAAGCAGGCTCCCTGCTGAGCAGAGAGCCCGATGTGGGGCTCGATCCCAGGACCCTGAGATCATGACCTGAGCTGAAGGCAGAGGCTTTAACCCACTGAGCCACCCAGGCGCCCCCATTTTATGATTTTTAATGTTATATATTTATATATAAGCATAGATATGCAAAGTCTGATTTGTCACACTTTTATCGTGAGACGTTCTTTCTTCACCACCCTTCCTAAGTCCTAGACTACAAGGATTAATGTCCTTAAAATGACCCTAAAGGAGACTAAAATGACCCTAAAGGAGATTAAAAGACCTTAAAAAGCTCTAACAGATCCTAAACTCCCTACTAAATTATCAAATAAACAATATTCACCCCAGTTTTGTGACTTACTTTAGTTTATTGCATTCTAATTCTTTTTAACATGGTATCCTGGACATGATGGACCTGGTAATTCCCAGTTGTTCCTCCACAGTGTAAACTGCCTGAAAGTGAGGGGTACTTGTTCACTTTTATAAAGAAAATATCTACATGAAAGGAGCATACATGAAAAAAATCAGAAGACACAGATACTGACAAGTTAATCCTTTTCTATCTTTGCATGTTATCCGTTCTGAAAAATCCAAAGGACGGCAATCCTTTAATCTCACTACCTCACAGAGGAGTGTGTGGGTCTTGTTCCCTCCACCTGAGCACACTCTCCTTACGGAAAAAGTGCCCCAGCTGCACCTTCTTCTTCTTCCAGTTTAGAGTTGCTTAATCCCACCCTCAAAAGGATCATGAGGCACGTCCTTGGTAGTGACCACTTTTTCAGTCCTGCGTGGAGTCCAGGAGCCCGCTTTCAACTCCAGATCCTTCAAGAGCTGAAAATTCTGTGTCAATGAGTGGCTTCAGAAATCTCTCAACTTTGGTTAGTCTTTGCTTCAGTTTCTGCTGCATTGACTCATACTCAGCCAGAATCCGAGCAAACCTCGTTTGCAAGAGGTCTACCGACCCCTCCATTCGGGTGACCTTCTCTTCGAGATCTTTGGGATCACTTCCAGCGTTTGCAATATTTATATCCAGTAGACCATCTTTCATCAAGATTTGCTTTCCCTTCTCTTCTAGCATAGTTTTGGCGTCTGGGTACTCAGTCAGAGCTTCCATGAGGTCGTCTTTGGAGAGACAGAACAGATCTGAGTAGCCGATACTTTTAATATTGGCTGTTCTCCGATTGCCGGCTTTGCTGCCTTTAATGTTAAGGATACTGATCTCACCAAAGTAGCTGCCGTCACTCAGTACCACAAACTGAGTGACTCCGTCATCGGCCACCACAGCGAGTCTGCCTTCTTTGATGATGTACATCTCCCGTCCAATATCCCCTTTCTTGCAAATGTAATCTCCGGGACTGTAGACTTGGGGTTGCAGTTTCAAGACCAACTCCACCAAAAGCCCAGCTTCACAGTCCGCAAAAATGCGCACCTTTTTTAAAGTGTCTAAGTGGACGTTGATGGCAATCTCTGCTCTCAGCTTATCGGGGAGATACTTCAAGACTTCCTTCTCATCAACTGTTTTTTTGTTGGACCACAGGTAGTCGAACCATTTGATAACTCTCTTTTCCATATCTTTGCTTACATTTCGAAAATGCATATACTGCTTGATTGCATCGATTCTTGCTTGAAATTCTGCTCTGGCAGCATTCATGTTGGAAATCATAGAACCTATGTTACCAACGATGGTAGCAAAAATTAACACTCCGATTAGGAAATCAACCACCACAAAGACATACTCGGAATCCCTCACAGGGGGCGGTGTTTCCCCAATTGTAGTCAGAGTCAGTGTAGACCAGTAAAGGCTGTATACATACTTTCTGGCCAAACGGCCAAATTCAGGATCATTAACATCAGGATACACCCATGTATCATTTCCAAATCCGACAGCTTTGGAAATAGAGAAGTACACACATGCGTTCCAGTGGATAATGATGACGATATACATAACAAGGTTAGAAATCCTGAAGATGTTGGGGTAGTTGGTTCTGGTTTCTGTTCTCTGGAAGAACTCAAACATTCGAGAGATCCTTAACAGTCTGTTTAATCTAATTTCTGGATAGCTCCACCCCAGCTTAAAATACAGCAGATCAGTGGGTATCACTGAAAGAAAATCAAGTTTAAATTGCAAGGTGGATTTATATTTCTCTATGAGCTTGGGCTCTTCCCTCACCAGCAGTCCTTGTTCTAAGTAACCTAAAATAGAAGAAAAAAACACAACAATTTAGTGGTTTTTTTTTCATTTTTACGCCATTATGAATATTTCTAAAATAACCCACTGAGTTGAAAACAAGAGTTCATTTCCAATAGAGGTGCCTGGGTGGCTCAGTCAGTTAAGCAACCGACCCTTGGTTTCGGCCCATGCCATGAACTCATGGGTCATGATTTCGTGGGTCATGAGATCGAGCCCCCCACTGAGTCCTGCACTGGGTTCTGCGATCAGCGCAAACTGAAGATTCTCTCCATCTACCCCTCCCCCTACTTACTCTCTCAAGTTTTCTAAAATAAACAAACAAAGAAAGAAAGAAATATTTTTTAAAAAGCGTTCATTTCCAATAAACATGCTTTGAACAATGTAATAAGATATGGGTACTGATCAACATATAGCTATGGAAAATAATCTTTTGAAGAAATAAAAAATAAAACTTTGTAAGTGTAAAAGTGAAAGCTTATATGTAACACATACGTACGTTGTATGTACACAAATCTCTCCAGTGCCAGTATCTCTACCCAGCTAAAGGATTCCTTTTACAAACAGCATTCTTGGAAATTTTCCAAACACCCTCACACTGTGCCTAAGGCCTCACGCCACTCTCTTGTCAGAATCCCAGCCCAACCGTTGAAGTTTGGGCACCTGCCTTACTGCCCATTACGTGTGTTCTTGTCTTGTCCCTTCACTGTGAAGAATAAGTGTCCTTCAGAGGTTTGTTTTCTCTCTCCTTTTTGTCCCCCCAGCTTCCTTAGTCATCTGGGATCTTCCCTTCTCCCGTGTTGCTGCAGTGGGCCTTGAATGTCAGCATTCTGATACATTTCACCCGAGAATGAATTTGTTCCTCTTCCTATACCGGCTACCGGAGCTGCGAGTAGGACATAACAATTGGAGCATTGCTCCAGCACACTGATATTTAGAGCATGTCCCTGTCTTATAGAACTATTCTTTTTTTTTTTTTTTAAGATTTTATTTATTTATTTGACAGACGGAGTTCACAAGCAGGCAGAGAGGCAGGCAGACAGAGAGGGGGAAGCAGGATCCCTGCAGAGCGGAGAGCCCAAATGTGGGGCTCGATCCCAGGACCCTGAGACCATGACCTGAGCTGAAGGAAGACGCTCAACCCACTGAGCCACCCAGGTGCCCCAGAGTGATTCTTAAATGCTATTCTCTGCACAGCGGTTACCTTGGAACACAGAGCTCAGCGTAGAAACGGTAAGCTATACCCACTGAACAAGAATACTTAAGGGGAAGTTATCAGACCCTACCTACTCCCTGGTCAACGATGCCCACAAGGACCCCAAAGTTGAATTAAGGATTTTGTACTTTTACAAAAATTCTAGTACAGGGGTCCCTGGGTGGCTCAGTGGGTTAAGCCTCTGCCTTCAGCTCAGGTCATGATCTCAGTGTCCTGGGATCGAGCCCCGTATCAGGCTCTTTGCTTAGCAGGGAGCCTGCTTCCTCCTCTCTCTCTCTGCCTGCCTCTCTGCCTACTTGTGATCTCTCTTTGTCAAATAAATAAATAAAATCTTAAAAAAAAAAGAATCTATATTTAAAAAAAAAATTCTAGTACAGCTCTGTTGTACATAATGACATCCCCCCCCCCCCCATGCGTCTTCATAGTATCTCTCTGTTAGGGAGCAATTACCCTTTCCCCACAGAGCTGGCAGAACATTTCTCTTCTCTTTATTCCTCTCCCATGGCTCTAACCCAATGAATAAGTTAATGGGGGAAAAGCCACCAATCCACATTCAAATGTTGCCCAATTAAGTGAATCGGTTGTAGTGACCTAAGCTTTTGGGTAGGTATATGGTACTCTTACTTTCAACAGTGCCTTATCCTCTAAAATAGATTTTTGCGAGTTTATTTCAAAGAATACTTGAATTACAAAATTTCAAATCATACCATAGAGATAAAAGCACAAAATTACAAAATATCCAAAACTGAACATATTTACCCGTCCTTATTCGTACAAACATATCAAGAAGATAGATTACATCGGATATGTAATCTAAAATGACCCAACATGCTAGGTAATCAGACTGAAGTTCCTCAAAGCATGCTCTGTAAAAGAAAAACTTGTGTGATTAAAATGAAATGGGGGCAAGTTTAAGTAAACGTCCTCTCTGCATAATTTTTATCATGATAAGAGATATGATGCACTTAGACTAAGAGGGGCCTTAGGCCCATTTAATTAACCATGGCTCTTCTGAATATGGGCAGATGGATTAAGCTTTCTCCTGCTTCTGAATTCCAACATTCTTTCCATTACACTAGTTCACACTGTGAAGACATCAAATAAAAATAAATAGTCTCAAGCTAATGTCAAAATACAATGGGTCACACACATTGATAACCAGGTTCTTACGATCTGTCTCTAAAATGCGTCAAGGAATTGTGCTTGGTTCTGGACGGCCAAGATGCTTACTGTCTAAAAGACAGAAAACCATAGAAAAATCGCTTGGGAAACACATCTTGCTCTAAGACAACCTAGGTCTTTGATCTTTTTCCACTCTTGGCAACATGTTTTTCTTATAGTCTGAAAAGTACATAAATAAAATAACTAAGTTTCTCCCCAAATTCTAATGACACAGTTCAGCAATCAAAAGTTTAAAAAGGTCCTCTCACTCCCAGTCCAGTACTGGATTTCTAAGTATATTGAGAAGCAAAGCACCTACTCCTGATCTTGGGAAAACACATTGAGAATAACATAACCTCTCTTTACAACCTGTAGTGGAGAAAAGAGATACATCCCAAAAAGCCCTTGACCAAACTGTTAAGTCAGGTAACTTAGAAACCAGAAGCAGGTCGAGATCCACAAAAATATAGATACCTTGCAATAACCATAGTCCAGTTGTACATAACAGGTAAAGAGATACAGAACAGCCAGTTGTAATACATGGTTCCTGAGGGATCAATAACCATGACTTCTTTCTTCTCCCTAGCAGCAATTAGAAAGTGGGAGATTATCAAGAAACAAGGACATTTTTATTTCACATATCAAATTCGGTTATGTCCATCACCCACAGTTCATGAAACAGAAGTAAGCTGGAGAAACTCACTCTGCAGGGAAAAAACTAGCTTGCCATGAGCGTGATAGACATGAGAAATTGCTTAGTGAGGACTGGATAGATAGTTAAATTACCAGTCTTACATTAAGGCTTGCATGAGATTTTTTAAACATCCTTGTTGTACTGTGATGCTGCAGACATTTCTATCAATCCAACTCCTGAGAAGGAATGGTGCCACAGATCATGCTAAACTCTGGATATGCGTAGACCTCTTTGGTAGGTTATGGGTGGTAAGAGAATGGGGCGTTGCCACTCCCCCTACCAGGAGACAAAGTAATCAGGAACTATGCTGTGAGAGGGAATTCATGGGTTCTTTCTCTCTTGTATGGAAAGAAGAATATAACACAATCTAATAAAAAGTCCTTGTTGATAAGCATCTGGTGAAGGATGAAGAGGCAATAGAGGACAGAGGAAAAGCAAGAAGGCAGGAAAGAAGGAAGGGAAAAAGGAGGGAGAAAGGAAATATATAGTCAAATGGAAAATTTTTAAAATTTTCTAGTGTCAACCTACATTGTGTTTTGGCGGGGTGGGGGGTTTATTGTTGTTGGTGGGGGTGGTGAGTTTTTTTAAGGGCTTTTTAAAAGATTTCTTTTTAAATAATCTCTACACCCAACATGGGGCTTGAACTTACAACCCCAAGATCAAAAGTCACATGTTTTACTGACTGACCTAACCAGGCACCCCAAGCCCATATTATTACGGATTTTTCCCTTTTGTAAAAGCTTTAACAGCTTTCCAGCAGGCAAAAATAAGTGAATATTATGTGGTAAAGAGTTGTTGTTTTTTTTTAAGTTTAGAAAACCCCAAAGATACAGATGTAGTGAAAAGAAGGGCCATCTGTACCCCGATGTTCATAGCAGTAATGGCCACAATCGCCAAACAGTGGAAAGAGCCAAGATGCCCTTCAACAGACGAATGGATAAGGAAGATGTGGTCCATATATACAATGGAATATTACTCAGCCATCACAAAGGATGAATACCCAACTTTTGTATCAACATGGATGGGACTGGAGGAGATTATGCTGAGTGAAATAAGTCAAGCAGAGAGAGTCAATTATCATATGATTTCACTTACTTGTGGAGCATAAGAAATAACATAGAAGACATTGGGAGAAGGAAAAGAAAAGTGAATTGGGGGAAATCGGAGGGGGAGACGAATCATGAGAGAATGTAGACTCTTAGAAACAAACCGAGGGTTTTGGAGAGGAGTGGGGTAGAGGGTTAGGTGGGCCTGGTGGGTGTTAAGGAGGGCACATATTGCATGGAGCACTGGGTGTGGTGCATAAACAATGAATCTTGGAACCCTGAAAAAAATAAAATAAAATAAAATAATAAAATAAAAACATCTTTCACTTGGATCAGCAAAAAAGCAAACAAACAAAAAAACTTCCTTTAGTAAAAAGTAAAAAGATAACTGAAAATATCACTCAGCCTTACCCTCATGAAATTCTAACCCTCAAATGTTTGTTTAAAAAGGATCTTTCAGGGGCACCTGGGTGGTTCAGTCGATTAATCATCTGTCTTCAGCTCAGGTCATGATCCCAGGGTCCTGGGCTCAAGTCCCACATCAGGTTCCCCGCTCAGTGGAGAGCCTGCTTCTCCCTCTCCCTCTTCTGCTCCCCCGATTGTGTTTGCTTTTACTCTCTCTCTCTCTCTCTGTCAAATAAATAAGTAGAATCTTAAAAAAAAAAAAGTGGGGGGTCTTTCAAATGGCTGGTGCTGATAAGCATTTGGACTGCTCTCAAAATTAAGCATGGCTTTTGCAAGGAAATTTGCTTACTTTTGGATTATTTGCTTGAGCATTTATGACTCAAAAATGTTAATAAAATTGCTATATTTTTTATTTCAACATAAAAAATTAATGTTAAGACCCTAGGAACACAATTTTCTTGAAACCTAAATATCTCTCAATGGTAAATTTATCTTCACCAGAGCTTCAGAAAGATAATTAACCATAGCATTGAAAATTTTTGATGAGAAAACTAAGAATAAAGCTACCACTGCTCATTGTAAGGAAATTTAAAAAAAATGATTCACATTTTATAACAACATATGTAGTCTTTTACTCAAGGCTTCATAACTATAAACTTTCAGGAAATTACCCTGCATTCAAAATCCATTATAAATTTGTTCCTAATTTCAATGCCACTTACTCTTCTTTCTTATCTTTGTCTTTTTCCTCTTTCTTTTTCTTCTCTTTTTCCTTTGCTTTCTTCTTTTTCTTCTCTGAGTCCTTTTTGTTTTCATTTTTATCATCTGATTTGCTAAAAAGTGAGAGATGTAGTTAGTAATAAGATACAAAAATGTTATGGGCCCCAAAACCTGCGATCACTCATGCCAAAGTCTAACTTACCTCTTCTTTTCTTTTTTCTTTTTCTTTTTCTCTTTTGGCTCTCTAAAAAAGAAATGTCTAAGTCACATCATCAAATTACATTCTGACTTCCATTCTTAATTACTTTCCTCTCTATTGAGCCTTGAATTCAGAAACCCATGCTCAGAGACCAGAAATTTGGTTTTCTGCTGGAGAGTTCTACAAAAATGGACATGCATCCAATGATAAAAAAAACACACACAAAATTTCCTGGGTTAGTACATGTTAAAAATTGAAGGAAATGGAGGTGGATAGAGGCATAAACCCAACAAGGGAAATTTAGGAAGCAACAGCTCTCATGGGTGCAATTTCAAGGTCTCTAGGTGTCCAAAACAATTTTTTTAAAAGATTTTATTTATTTATTTGACAGACAGAGATCACAAGTAGGCAGAGAGGCAGGCAGAGAGAGAGAGGAGGAGGAAGCAGGCTCCCTGCAGAGCAGAGAGCCCGATGTGGGGCTTGATCCCAGGACACTGGGATCATGACCTGAGCCAAAGGCAGAGGCTTTAACCCACTGAGCCACCCAGGTTCCCCCAAAACAATTTTATTTAAAGTTTAAGTTTCTTGATATCACTTATAATAATTTATTATATATAATATGTATAATGATATTGTATATAACAATATATATAAGAATTTATTATTATTTATTATTGAGTAAGAGCTTTGAGAAATTTCAAGAAAATGCCATCAATTTTCTTTAGAGGGATAATCCTAACTGTGGCAATTTTTCATGAGTAGTCAGAAAGCTCCACACACTAGAACCCTAATTCTTAGAATCATTTACTGGATTTGAGATTGCCTTTTTCTATATGCAATTTCTTCTGCAGTTGAGAATATGTGATTAGAGGCCTCTTCCTACAGTTTGGCTCTCTCCCTATCAGCTGAAGGATGAAACTTGGAGGCAGTCAGATCTAAGGTCAAAAATAGGTTGCCATCGTTGGCTCAGATGACTTGGGAAAGTTTATTATTCAGACATGAGTGAACAGGCATCTCACAACCAGGAGGGTAGTCAGAGAGGTAGTTACAAGGAGAGAGCTAGATCTAGGCCTTAAAGTATAGGTTAAGAGTTGGAGAAGTTGAGAAGAAGCGTGGGGATGTTAATGGGAAGAAAAATTTTCAGGTGCAAATGTACAAATGAATTTATTCTGTATATGAATAGCCCAGCAGAAATGGAATGCTGCTATTGAGGAGGAGCAAGAAACAGAATGGACAAGGAGGTGGGGCTTGGCACCTAAGGTCGTCATGTACAAAGGGCAACACAACATAGAACTGGATAAGGGAGAATTTGTTGCTGTGAGAGCACACCCTTGTGATACAGGTTTTAACCCCTAGCACAGATCCTAAGAAATGGTGCTGACACGCTGCTTGGATGGCTCCCGGAAGCTCAGAAAAGGGGACGGCTCATGCTAAGTGCAATAAAATTACAAACGGCCATGGCAGAGGGTAGAGGAAGGTACAAGGAAGACTCAGAGAAGTGATATGCTTAAGTAGACATCCCAGATAAGAAAGACAGTCCACCAGCTGACTGTGGTTCCTCAGAGGGCTCAGAGGACACAAAAATGATAAGAAATGTGCTGGTGGGAGGGGAACCAGCATCAATGAGAAACTCAGTGGTACTGTCCTCTGGAAGCCAGGGCTAGGGCTGATAGTGGGAGATGCTGAACTGGGTACAGAACTGGGTTCCCTGAGAGCAATAGGGATGACAGAACCTGGGAATAAGCAACCAGTGGCAGTGTTTACTCATCAGAAGAGAGATGGGTCCACTAACTGTAATTAACTTTAAGGGGAGCATGGGTAGGCAGGGGACTTATCCCACAGAGAGCTATGAAAGAGGTTAATAGAATCTGTTCCTAGATAGATGCACATCCCTTTGGCTTGTCAGGGTGCTGTTTAACATGTACGGTCACAACAGATCAGGAATGGATAATCAGGAGATTGAGAGCAACTTAACCCAATAAAAAGTCACAACCTCATGCCTAGTTTCTAAACCTGAGCCAGCTGAGAAATGAAATCACTGACTGAAGAATGAAATCACTGACAATATATGACTTATGGGGCTTCCACTGGGTCTAAAGACCCCCACTGTGGTCATTTCTCCAGGTCCTCAGTGTAAAAGTGGAATATATATGTTTGGACATTGGTAGAACCCTCATCCCTACATGCTCCTTGGCTTGTAGAGGAAGAGTTGATGATAATGGGGGTGGGAGGGGTGGGGACAAGTAGAAACCCTCCAGCTGCCCCCCACCTGCTGTCTGAAAACCATATTGCATCCTGGACAGGAAAGAAAATGCAATCCTTAAAGTCCTCATGCAGGCAGGGCTGGTGGTTCCCTCCCACCACCATTTCATTCAATGTCTGGTCCCTACAAAACCCACATGGATACTAGCAGCTGGCAGTAGACAACGGAAAATCAACCACAGAGTAGCCCCAGCTGCAGCTGCCTGGGCTATTGTGAAAAACAATGCTCTCATGTGATCTAGACCATATACCCAATGTTCTGGGTCAGTCATGGTGAGTGTGTGATATTTTTTTTTTTTATTACTATTAGGGAAGAGGAGCAGAAACAGTTACGAGATGGAAAGCAGCGCACGGGCTATGTTGTCTCTCCTGCTCAATGTCATGACACAGCCTAGAGGGACCTGGACCATCTGGACATGCCTCAGAATGTCACATTGATCTACTCTATCAACAGCATCGTGTTAATAAGGCCTGGAAAGAGGATTAAACAACCATGGAACAGAAAATGGCTATTGACCATGAGCTGGATTCTGCCGGAATTAGCAAGTTATAAGGTTGTACAGTAATCCATCCCATGATGAAGTGGAATATCTGGGATCAAGCATGGGGCACAGTAACCCCCCCCCCCCCACCATGTGCTCTGCCACTGTTGTATCAGCTCCTATTCCCTCAGCTCTTCACCGTGGCCATAGGCGGGGGTCTTACAGGAGGAGTTGAAGGAGCATGGTTTATGAATGGCTCAGCCTGACATCCGGATACAAGTCAAAATGGGCTGTGTCTACACTAAAGCTCTACTTAGAGATGACCCTAGAAGATAACTGGTAAAGTCAATCTTCAAATAACACAGCTTCAAGGGGTGAACCAACAACTACTTGGTAAGGAAAAGGAAATAACCATGTATGGGTCTGGGAACCAAGGAGTTTAAGTAGGAGAGACTCACATAGAGAGTGTGTCCTCCTCATCCCCACAACTTTATGGTCCGTGGATCTACATGTTTCCAGATGGATCACGTGTCTTCCAGGCAACACAGTTAGTGTACCATTAAACATTAAGCTATGACTACTCCCCAGGCACTTTGGGCCCCTCGTGCCAAAAAAAATTGATAGGCAAGAAAGGGAGTCACCATACTGGCAAAAGTAACTGACTTCTTTCATCACAACTAGATAGTGTTGCTGTTGTACAATGTGTGTGTGTGTAGGGGAGGGGTATATTTGGCACACAGGTGATCTGCTCTGGTGTCTTTGGTGTTCTTCAGCCCAGTTTTAGTGGTAAATGGACGAATACAGCAGGTATAACTCAAGAAGGGTATGGTGATGACCAGGGCCCCAAATCCTTTAGGGAGAAGAGTCTATATCATTCATCCCATGAAGTAAATCATCTAGACCAGCAAAAGTGCTGACCAGAGGTGACAGGATTCTAGAATGTGTAGGAAAGGAGAGCATAAGCAATTTCAGTTAAAGCCTCATGACCAGCTGCAGCTGTCAGGGACCTAGGTTTATCCCATTAACCATCCTCTTATAAGCTTTCTCAGGAAAAAAGAACAAGACTCCTGGAAGAGGTATATTCCCGCATAGGATGAATTTTCTATATGAGGAAATCGGACACAAACAGTGCAAGAAGTGTGTTGTCCAGATGCATTAGTGCACAGAACTCTGGCACTCATTCCCCACTGGCCAAAAGTATTGGTTGCTGACAGCTCACAGCTCCCTCTTCTTTGGCTGGCCTTGGCTGACGGAGACCCACCAGACTCAAAGCTATGCCCCCCATCCTATGGGCTGCCCTCACCCAATGACTGAGCATGTGCAAAGGCCCAGTCCTACTGCCTAACTATGATCCAACTCTGAAGGGTCATCCCTCCTCTAGAGCTTCCCATAGCAACTCTATCCCCTGAAGTTCAACTTCTCCCTCTGCCCAGTCCTGCTCCCCACTCTCCTGGAAATCATTCCTAAGAGCACTCCCAATAAACCTTTGCACACACACCTCCCTCTCAGAGATTGTCTCCTAAGGAACTTGACCTGGGATATATTGGCCTAGAATAGAAAAGATGACTGAGATTTCATTTCTTTTTGTCCACAAGGAGGGGCAATTGCATCGACACTACAGACAATGGCTTTCTGTATGTATTCAAACACATACATAATACACACATGCATACATACATACATACATGCTGCTTTTAATATAGGTAGCCACTTTTTTCAGAAGTAAATAACCAAATGACAAAATAATAAAATACTATAGCCATTGTATTAAATAGAGTTTTCCTAATAAAGATCTCCTCTGCAGCAGATTCAGATACATTCCTACCTTCTTAATGGTGTTCTTTAAAAGCACAGCTTTGGTTTTCTATTGTAAATGTACTTACTGCTCATTATTGCTGCTGTTGTTAATATTGAAAAGCGCAAGGGCACCAGGCAGGTACTGCTCCCTGGAAAGTGAAAGCATAATAGTCACCATCTGTATAACGTCCATGTTAGGGAAAGTCATGGAGGACTGTGGCATGTGGTTCTTCATGGACAGAGACAGGTCTCAGGGAAAATGATCCACAGGAGTGCTGGTGACTTAAGGCATCAATGGACATCAATAACCATCAGGTCTTGGCATCATCAATCATCAATATTCAATATTCAATCATTCCATATTCAATCATCATTCAATCATCAATCATCAATAATCATCAGGTCTTGGCAGTTTCCCAAGAGAGGAAAAGGATAAGCAGCAGGTTATTTCCAAGATCCTGCGAAGTGGCCTAGGTGGCAGGAACATTTGCCAAGCCCACGAAGTGGAGGAGTAGAATACCTTTCTTTCATCTACATAATAGTTTAAAAAGACCTGAAGGAATAGATCATCGTGCTCACCTCTGTGATGGCCCCCCTCTGTGTGAGTTATGTCTACAGGAACCCCTTGCATGGGGGTTTTCATTCTCTGATTCTTCAAACATGGAGGCGCTGTCACCATCATCATCATCATCATCAGAAAAGGAGCTATGGTCCAACAGGAGGCAGAGATGAATTAGATCAATGTTTTAAACCATTATGAAGGAGTAACATTTCTCATTAGGAGGACCATGGCTTCAACCTTTCTCCTACCCTCTGAAACTAACATATAACTCTTTTGAATTAGAGTGAAATGAGAACTTTCAGGATCCATGGAATTAGGTAAGGTGTATGCACAATTCAGTAAAATGTGTGTAATTAAGAAACAACTTTCTAGGTCTTCCACATTTCTTTTATTTGACGCATTGATTAATGTTAATATTTATCAAATAGAAAGTATGAATCCATGCTTTAGGTTGCATTATACATTTTTATGAACAAGCCTGTAATAACATTTCTTTCCACAAAAAATAAATTCAACCACATTTATACATGCTCTATTCAGTTATGGGGTAACCACTTTATTGTATCTATTTTATTTTATTTCAAATCAATTAGTTAACATATAATGTATTATTAATTTCAGAGGTGGAGGTCAGTTATCCATCAGTTTTATATAATACCCAGTGCTTATTATATCACTCACCCTCCTTAATGCCCAACACCCAGTTACCCCGTTCCCCCACCCACCTCCCCTCCAGCAACCCTCGGTTTGTTTCCCTTAGTTAGGAGTCTCTTATTATTTGGCTCCCTCTCTGATTTCGCCTTATTTTATTTTCCCCTCCCTTCCCCTATGTTCACCTGTTCTGTTTCATAAATTCCACCTATGAGTGAAATTATATAATTGTTTATATAATTTCTCTGATTGACTTATTTCGCTTAGCATAATAAAGGGTAACCACTTCAAATTATACTTTTAAAACATTTAGCATTTCACACTTTGTATTATTTTCACATTCATCTATGGCAATGCTTTCTCTGCAGATTTGAAATGTCCCATAAGAAAAGGCCTGTGCTATAGTGAGTGCTGTGAAGTGTGTAAGCCTGATGATTCACAGACCTGTATCCCTGGGGCAAATAATACATTTTATGTTAATAAAAATAATTTTTTAAAAATGCATGAAAAAATACATGGATTTACCTGCCCACTCCATTTTCCATCCTTCTTATTTCGCTTTCAATATCTGGAGTAATCACATTGGGAACGTTTACAAAAGAGTACCATGTATTGATAATATTTTTCTTCATGGTAAGTTTAATATCTAGGGAGGAAAAAAAAAACCCTATTATTGGAAAGACTTTATTATTTACATATATAATCAAAACTGCCACTCTACCATTCATCTAAGGCTGTCATAATGATTTTATTTGGAAATTATTCTTTAATAGAATACAGATGTAGCCTAAACCCTTAATTATCACTAGCGAGGTTTTTTTTGTGTATTTTTTTAAAATTCAAGAATATAACAAGTGCAGATTTTTTTTTTTAAATTTTGGATTTACCCCAGCTTTAAAATATTCAGGCAATGTAGTCATAGAACAAAGCTATAGAGAACTCACATACACATCAAACAAGTAAGAAAAAAAAGTAGTAAAATAAAATACCAAAATGAATGCAATCAGCTGTGAATGTCTCCAAGCATTCAAAAAAGGCGGGGTGGGGTGGGGTGGGGAGATTCTTGAATGGTTTTCAAACTTTGGAGTGAAAAAGGTTGCGACCGATCCACATTTTTAGGAAGTCCTCTAAATAACTCTGATACAGATCGTGTTCGGCTTCCCGTGCTTGCATTTCAGGCTTCAGGAGAATGCCAAGAACCAAAAGATCCTGAATTCCCTCAGGTATGTCCTATCTCGCAGTGGGTTCGAGCCCAACCTCTTGCTCTTGGGGAGGCGCGGTAAAGGGCGCGCAAGTGCACCGCTCCTCGCCTTTCTGGTGAGGCTCTGCCAGGACCCAGCGAGGACGCCGCTGCATTGGGGACCGGCTCACGTTCATCCCCTGGTCTCCAGTGTGCCGCAGCCTTGTCACCCGCAACTTGGAGAAGTTCCTGGTGGGCGCGAACGGTGTGCCTGTGCGCAGGTTACAACTGCGGCTTTGCGACCACTGGCATAGAAGCCCTGCTGTCCCATGGGACGCAGCTGTGCCTAGGGCGCCCCTCCTACCCCAGCTTGCTGGGTTCACAGCGCTGCCCTTTGGGGATATCATCCCTGGGGATGTTTCCTCCAAATGCGCGTGGAGGAACGCCTGAGGTCTAGGAAAATCCCTCGAAATGGACACCGGGTATGCCTCCCAGCTGCCTCTCTCCAGAACAAGGCTCCCCACTCTCTTAAAGTGTCAGGTGTCAGCAGAAAAAAAGAAAAATCAGTATCTGGTCACGGGCTCTGGCTCCAAGAACAGTGCCACCGTTTACTAGCTCTTGTACTGAAGGTGCATGGCATGGTTTCAGCACCTTCCATGCCTCCGCCTTATGCTCTCTGGACAGCTGGTCATCTACAACCCCCACCCCACCCCCCCACACACACACCCACACACAACAAGCCACATACACACAACAAGCTCCTGGCCTGCCCTCCAGGTTTTTATTTCCTTCGTTATTTTTTGACCACGGTTTCTGGGTTTGGACAGCAAACTTTGTCATTAACAAGCAAAAAAAAAAAAAAAAAAAAAAAAAGAGAGAAAAGCAATCAAGGGATGTGGAAACGTGCATAAAACACACCTCATTCTTTATACTAAAAGACATTAAATAACGACTTGCTTTTCACAAAAAGTTAAATCTCCAACTGAGGGTAGCAATCGATGGTGCTCTATATTTTACTCTGGTGTCCAAACAATGATGAAAATACCTAGCAGCCTGTAGTCGAAAAGTAAATCGAGATTTTTGGTGATGTTAATGAAATGTGCATATGTTTTAAAATATAATTAAATTTGACTAAGAAGCAGCACTTTTTAGGAAGAAAGTTATTTCATTGACTCATTTTCAGTATCTGAATGGATGTGACTATTCTGGCTATATTTACGGCATGCTGATTTGCTATTGACATCAGTGAACACTCCCTCTGAGAGACCTCATGCCTCCTGACTAGGAAAGGGAGAATACATGCTTGTTACATCCATCACAAGACAGAAAAGTTTATGTGAGTTAAAGGCTAAACAAGGACATAAAATATCCAATATGTCAGAACAAACCAAGCCAGGACCTTGCTTGTATCTGAAGAAAAGAAGAATGAGTTCCCTTGTTCTATAACTTCTTGGCCTAAGCTTTTTACATAGGAAAAAAACATTTGTTTTTAATTGCACAATCACATTTTAATACATATATCATATTTAATACATACGTCACTCTAGTAATACAAATTTCACTTTAGGAAAAAAAGGAGAAAATATAAATATAAAAATAAAGATACTCAAAATTCCACTCCAGACCTTAAAATTATTTATCAACATATTTTCCTCAATGCTTCTGTGGTTTCTTTTTTCACACTTAAACAGTTTAATCCACTTCCAATTTATTTTGGTGTAAGGTGTGATGTAGAGATTTTAACTTTATATTTTCTAAATGGCTAGCCAATATTCTAAAATGGCACTTAATCAATAATCAATAGTCCATCTTTTCCCTACTAATTTGAAATGTCATCATTCTAAACTTGCCTGTCAACCATAGAGTTTTGATAAAGATTTTATTTATTTATTTATTTATTTATTTATTTATTTAAGAGCGAGTGCAAGGGGGAAGCAGCGACGGTGGTGGAGGGACCAGACTCCCTGCTAAGCAGAGACCCAACTCTCTGGGCTTGATCCCAGGAACCCTGGATCATGACCTGAGCCAAAGGCAGACACTTAACCAACTAAGGTACCCAGGCGCCCCAGGGAAACAATTGCTTTTAGAAAGTAAGTTTCAGTTTTCATTTTTTACCTGAATCACAAACATTTCTCACTTAAGTGAGAATGTGAAAAACTGCACTAAAATAAAGCAAAGCAAATGATTGGGAAAATCTTATGGACAGCTCAGACAAAATTAATTTGGAACATGAGCTTTGAATGCCCAGGAAGTTTTCCATTCTATTGCTCAGCATCAGGCTCTATTTTGGGTTCAAATCCTGATTCTACCATATACTAGTTGAACCTTACTCAATTTTATCATCTCTACAATCAGATTAATAGGATCTCTTTTGTGTCAAATAGCAGAAAAGATATGCTGCATATCCTCGGTCACAAATCCACACATATAGACATAATTAACTGTGCGGCAGTGGTTCTCTGAATTCAGTAAGAATGATACCTATGAAACTCGTTTAAAATTCAGATACCAGGGCCCTGCTCTCAGAGGACGAAAGAAGTACGACTTTGCACACATGAATCTACAATTTTACCAAGCACCCTTATGTAATTCCATTTCAAGCAATTCCTGAATCATACTTAATGCAATAGGGCTCTATGCTATGGGCCCTTGGTTCACTACCCCAGCCATATCTGTAATTCTGAATACAGTAGTGGGAGAGAGGAAGTAATAGTCAGGAAAGGCTTCAAGGTTGTTGTTACTTTTCTCACATTTCAGACCTACAAATCTGAAACACTGAGAATCAATTTCCAAAGACAAAATCCTCAAACAACTATTATACCAAATTCAATTTCATAACTTAAGAAATACAGACTTCTGGGGTGCTTGGGTGGCTCAGTCATTAAGCATCTGCCTTAGGCTCAGGTCATGATCCCTGGGTCCTGGGGATGGAGCCCAGCATCAGGTTCCCTGCTTAGCAGGAAGCCTGCTTCTCCCTCTCCCAATCCCCCTTCTTGTGTTCTCTCTCTCGCTGCATCTCTCTCTGTCAAATAAATAAATAAAACTGTAAAAAAAAAAAACAGACTTTAATATGAAAAACAGCCTGTAAAATTCACCATATTAATAGAAAAAAGATGAGAAAAGTCATATGATAATTTCAACAGATAAAGAAAAGGTATTGGACAAAATTCAACACCTATTCATAATATAGAACCTTAGCAAATTAGGAATAGAAAGAAACTTCCTCAACCCAGTAGAAAACATGTACAATAAAGCTGTAGTTAACATCACACTTAATAATGAAAGGCTGAACATGTTCCCCATAAAGTCAAGAATAAGGCAAGAATATAGAGGTATTCAACATTGTTCTAGCTCTCTTACAATAAACCCCCAAAATATTTTAGTCTATGTGCTGCCAAAGTGAGCACAGCCCCCAAAATAGTTTAAAATAAAGAATAAAAGGCATCCACATTGTGAAGAAATAAAACTATATTTGCAGATGACATGAGAGCATATTAGACAATCCTAAAGCATCTACAAAAAAAAAAAACTAGCACAAATAAGTAAACTTAGCAAGTTCTCAAGACAAAAATCAATGGGAAAATTCATTTTATTTCTGTATGTTTGCAGTGAATAATTAGAAAATGAAGTGAAAATGAAAATACACATAGCAAGCAATTAATGTCTATGTCCATTTCTATGACTAAATCCTATTTACAAAGTTCTCTGGCAGATGCTGTAAGAAAGAAGCCCAAAGATGAGTATGGCCGTAAAGAGCTTACAACTAGTAAAGAAGGAGTAAAGCAGGAAAGAAGACGAGAGCACCACACCAGACACATGGTTTGGGCCCATGAAGGGAACAAAAGCAAGTATTCATGACTGCCTATCACCTCTTTAATTTCCAAGATTATTTTTTCTTTGTTTCAAAATGTGTAGATCTTTTCATAGTGTTATAGTCTAAGAAAAAAATGATAGCTGGAATAACAGATATGTTTTAAACTCTAGCGGGGGGTGGCTTAAAAAAGAAAAAAAAATCCCTTTCAGCTAGATTATAAAAAAGTTCATTAAGATGGCAGAGTATAGAAGCAAGGTCTACAATCAGGGTCCAATTAGAAAAATGATGAAATCAGACAGTTCAATAGAGAGAAGCAATATCAAAAGCACTGGAAAACCTAAACAGGGAAACTGAGAAAACCCAGAGATGAACAGTAACAGGGCCCTCTCCCTGTCCTAGAGCAGGAGACATGCAGGGCAAAGGGAGATTATTAGAGTCTAAAACCAGGGCTTCCAGGCTGGAAGACAGAATTATTGTGAGAGATGTATCAGGAAGCAAAGAATGAGTGGAAGAAATGACTTCATCTCTGACTTCTGCCCTCCATCGTCCACAAGTGCCCCCCAGTAGCTGAAGCCAAAACAAAGCAGCGAAGCCTGAAAAACATAAATTGCAGGGAGGAGGAGGCAAAGATCTAAGCTTGAATGGAAATGAG